ACCCATGCTGGCTAACTTAGACCCAGACATAACCCTGTCTCTTATACACATCTAGATGTGTATAAGAGACAGCACACACACACACACACACACACACACACACACACACACACACACAAATGGCAAGCCCGCAGGCGAGTGGGGGCGAAGCCGCGACAGCGGGCGGGGGCAAGACAGACGGGCAACGGGCCCGATGGCCGCAAAGCAAGCTTCCCCAGCCACGCGAGTTCGTAGGCCCGCAAAGCAGGCCTCCCCAGTCCGCGCCGGTTCGTACGCCCGATGGTCGGCAGCCCTCCCAGCCCACGCCTGTTCCTAGCTGGCAGTCGCGATTTTCAGATCTTCTTTTGTCTTTTTTGGCCTGGGCCCACCACCCGAGGTCCCAAACCTGGACACTGGGTCTCGCGCCGACGTCACACGAGACCCGGCTTTTCCTTTAGTAGTATAGAGAAGAGATAGAGATAGAGATAGAGATAGAGATAGAGATAGATAGAGAGAGAGAGATGACTTTGAGTTTACCTGGGGCAGGTCAGTTCAAACATGACATCTCAAGGTCGTAGCCCTTTGAAAAACAAAAAGAGAAAAAGAAAAAAAGAAAAGAAAAGAAAAGAAAAGGGAAAAAAAAAACCCCAAAGAAACGCCCGAGTTCAACAAAAGAAGAAGTAAAAGAAAAAGGTTGGGGGCCGGGTCTATACCTGACGTCATAGTACACAACTTTTCCGTCACGGCCCAGGGATACAGCCAAACTGGCCCAGCTTCCTGGAGAAAAGGTGGTTGCAGTAACGGCAATTTGTCCGTGGCGGTGCTCTGTGCGGACAAGCACCAGACCATCTGTACTCCCCTCTCTGGCTTTCGCCAGATTTACAAGCACCATACACGTATGTCCCTTGGCAGTTCCTGCGAGAGCAATGAAGACGTCCTCCTTCTGCTCATAGTCAGCAAAGTCAAAGTTGACCTCATCCCAGTCAGATTCACTGTTAATTGCAGAAACAAAGGAGTTGTAACCTGGTGACTCTGGGCCATAGGATTTGACCGAGAGACAGGTCAGTCCGCCGCATGTTGCTGGAACCTCAATCGCACACAGAAGACCAGAGACTCCCTCCTGTATATGCCATAGTCGAATGGTCCTTTCTGATCCCACAGTAATGATAACCCCTCTGGGAAGAGTTGCAATTCCAGTCACTTTGCCCCTGTGGTACGAACCCAGTGGTGAGACCTGAACACCCGTGGTGAAGCTGGTGTTGAGCTGGCCTGCTCCCAAGAGAACCTGGAGAAGAAGCAGATCCCATGCACTGCTTCTGTCAGGCATGACAACATCGTGCCAGTGTCACACGGACCCACATGGCTAGAGTTTGGTCACAAGGGTATGGGAGGAAGACCACTAAGGGCATATTCACATACACCAGGACCTTTTGCAGCAGAATCTGGCCATTGTTATGCTTAGCCAGCTTCCGTATCCCATCCTGGCAAGAGAATATGAAGAAAGAAATCACAGAGACTACTCCCAGGAAGACATCATCATCATGGCAAATGATGTACTTTTTTTTATTACTTTAGTACCTACCCAATTCCAGAATGGAGAAATTGCATGAAGCAAAANCCAGGAAGACATCATCATCATGGCAAATGATGTACTTTTTTTTATTACTTTAGTACCTACCCAATTCCAGAATGGAGAAATTGCATGAAGCAAAATGTTGAGCTCGCTTGATCGGGGRAAAAAAGCAATTGCAAGGAAAATGAGCAATGGGAATGACAGTCTGTACTTTATCAGCCACAGGACCTCCTCCRTGCAAAGCACGGATTYGAACYGGCGCCCTCARCCTCAAGAGCCRAGTCTCTTAACCACTACAGCCATGACACGGTGTTCAAAAGTGGATCCGTGCCGGTCGTGATATCCACCCCACCCCTGCATGGCTGTAGTGTCCTTCAGCTCACACACACACACACACACACACACAACACCACACAAGGCATCCACCACACAGGCAGTCGTCGCACACTCTGCTCTCATCCAGCACAACTGCTTATCCAACGGTTTTATCCACGGGCCACCACATCCTGGTAATTTCCCGGCTGGNCAGGCAGTCGTCGCACACTCTGCTCTCATCCAGCACAACTGCTTATCCAACGGTTTTATCCACGGGCCACCACATCCTGGTAATTTCCCGGCTGGAAATTTCAGCATTGCGTAGAAAGCCAGATAACCTCGAGCCCGAACTGAAAGCAGATTGCACCACGAGATAACACCAAATGAGTAAGAGCAAAGCACTGAAGTCCGATGATAATGAAAGCCCTCTTTTCGCCTCCAACATCAATGTCAACAATGTCACTCCCCTACTTGGCGCGCGGCGCCCAGACTACAATCAGATGGCTCCTATCAACCTAGACCTCTATCTACAACAGGTCATGCATGAAGTACAGCAGCCCGACAACGAATGAAGACTCCGTGTGAAGCTTCCTCCTCTTCGACAACAGGTATGCACCTCCCCACATTGCCCCACACCTTCTCTTCCCTTCCACAGTCCCTCGCCCATGGACCTCCGCTCGACCTCCTCCGGCTATGGCTTCTGCGCCCTGCCCGCTGCGCTCTCGCAGCGTCTTCCTCATGCCCCGCTGGCACCCTTCTTCCCTCTTGGCACGGTGCTCATCCAGCAAGCCAGCGCGCCAGCAGCACTGCCGCCATCCAGCCAGCCAGAATGTGTCAAGTGGGTGAGCCTCACTTGCTTTTGTCCTGTCTGGCCGGGCAGCCTTTGTCCCAGTAGCAGGGCCCAGGGCGCTTCCAGAATGTGCCTGGGGCTCAGCTGTAAGTGCCCTGCGCCTCAGCATCTTCAACTGACCCGGTGAACGGTTGGTTGAAGATGCTGCATGCAGCAAGCAACCCACGGGCCCCTTCCTGCTTACATCGTCCAATTCTCAGACCCGCCTTCACTTACGGCGTCGCAGGGCTAAGACATCTAAACTGCGGAAGACGTCCAACTGAAGAGAGAGAGAGAGAGAGAGAGAGAGAGAGAGAGAGAGAGAGAGAGAGACCACTGACAGTGCTGCCAGTCTGAAGACTCTGAAGTTCTGAATTGAACTTCAAAGTTCGAACTTTTAAGATACATGAAGTTATGCAGGGTGGCCGGTGTCCGGGACGGGCCAAACACCTGAACCCAAACGCCTGAACGTACGGGACCCCTTGGGGATGCATTCGGCCGT